ACAAGTCACTTCTTTAACAAAGCCTTCTAAAATGGCGCCAAGACCCAAAGTCAAGATCACTGGCCTATACGCAGAAAAGCTGCCATCCTTCCCAATGGCTGCCCTTCTCCAGGCCTAAGGTGTCTCTCCTGCTCTTAATTTTTCAAAGCTCCTCCCAGTGGGTCTGTGATCACATCCTATGGGTTTTTCTCCCAATATCCTGAGATGTCCTGCTGGTTTATTGACGACATCCACCCTACACTCAGGGAACCCCTGCCTCATAATATGGGAGGCAATGGCCCACCTCTTAGAGAGTCTCCAGCGTGAGGAAGAAGACCCAGCTCCCATCTTCAGAAAGCCTCCAGTCTGATGGGGAAACACAGTCTGGGGACAAGGAGAGACCACACCTAAGAGTCTCCAACAGGGCCCTGGCTCCTGATTGGTGTCCCTGAATGATGCTGAGGTTCTGAACAGAAGTCTGGTCTGGGAGTGCTCGGGGCTGTGGACATCCTGAGGAGGTGGAGGGCTTGGGGCAGAGGCAATGGGAGGCGGCATGAAGAAGGCAGGAGCTGAGTGTGGGGTGAGCCCCAGACACTCTACAATGTTTGGTCCTGAGAAATCAATAGATCGTCAGTGAAGGAAAGGGATGGGGGCCCAGATGGGCCATGGACCTGCTGGCTCCTTCTTTCAACTGCCGTGGAAAGGGTTGGGGAAGGGGCTCCCCATTTCACAGCTTCCCTTGCTGCAGAAGTGGACCCTAAGCCCTATCCAAGTGCTTGCCCCATTCTCTTTTTCCTTCTGTCTCTTCAAGTCCACAAATCCCGAGGAAGCCAGAATTCTGGGCCCAGCTGGACGCTGGAAGGGGAGGAGGTGGCCATGGCTTTGGGGGAGGTATTGTCCTAGCCCCCAGGGAGCTCCATACACTAGGAGAGCAATCAGCCCAGCAGGGACCCAGACATCCCACAGTGTGAGGGAAAGAGACAGGAACCCAACCAACCAGGTTTGTGGAACCAGGTGACCATTCCCAGTCCTGCTCTGGGAGGGCTCCCTGGAGGAGGTGAGCCAGGGCTTGGGGGAGAGACAAAGGCAGTAGTGACCCAGCATCTCATAGGGCTGGTGGTCCAGCCCCATTGCTATCTGCTTGGCCTCCTGTAACTGCCCTCACCCTATCTGTCCCTATCTGGGAAGGTCGCTACTCTGCTCTCGGACCGATGGCAGGGGCTCCCCAGGGGCCTGTGTGTGGCAGCTCCGTTGGGGAGCTATTATCAGCAGAGACCATGAGAGAGCCCAGGCCAAAGGGTCACAGGGGTCTCAGGGTTTACCTAGTCCAAAGCCCCCATTTTAGAGATGAGGCAAATGAGGCAAGGTCATCTGAGTCATAAGGAGAAAATCCACCTGCTTTGGATCCCAGATCCTTCCACCCCCACGCCACTCCCCAATTCCTGGCTTCCATGGCATCACCCTTTGCCCACTCCCCACTGCCTCCAAGCACTCAGACCTCCTCTCCCAGGGCCGGGAGCAATTCCTTCCGCCCTCCCCCTCCCGTGGCTACCACCCTGCCACTTGTAAAGGCTGATCTCTGGGTCTGGCTTCTTCTGGAGACTGTCCAGGAGAAGAAAGCTGATCCTGGCTTCCCCATCCCCACCCCAGCCTCTGCCCACTTAAATCTATCAATCAATCAATCAATCAACCAATCAATCCATGGAGAGGGTTGGACACTGTCCCTGGTGCTGGGGATACAAAGGCAAACCAACCCCACCTCCCCCCAAAAGGAAAATAAAATGCTTTCACGGAACTCACATAGTCATGGAGGACCAACCACGAAACTATGTAGTGGGGCACAAACATAGACAAAGTAAATACAAGAAAGTTTAGAACCCTGAGGGCAGGGCCACCCCTCCTTCCTCTCCAGGCCTTCTCTCTTCATGCTGGAAGTTACCTCCGGCCCTTCGACTTCTCCCTCTGATTGGAAGGCTCTTTCCAGGACACCCATTCATGGAAGGTGCCCAGGCCAGCCACAACTCTTTCCTCTCAGACTTTCTCTCCCAGGTCCTCTCACTGGATAACACATCTCCCCATCCCACCCTCACCTTTTCAGCTCCCTTTATAAGCTTTTTCCCCTCGTTAGAATGTAAGCTCCTCGAGGTCAGGGACTTTCCTGCTTTTGTGTTCCCAACACCTAGTAAGCAATTAATAAATAAGTGCTTATTGACAGGTTGACTGAGGACTTGGAAGGCCTGGCCATGAGTAACTAGGAGGGGGTCAATGTCTTGATGGGACTCAAACTGAAGGACTAAAGGGGACCCCAAGTATAGTCATTCTTAGGGGTGGCTGGCCCAGCCAGTCTAGCCCCTCCCTGGGTCCTGAACCCTAAGAAACAGATGGTAGACTCTGAGGCTCTGGCCTGGGAGATGGGACTGTGCCCCTCCCCTTCCCTTGAGCTTGAGACACAGAGCAAGGGACCTCCTTCAACTCTCTGAGGTCCAGGGTCAGGACCTCTTCTTAGCTCAGAGCCCCCAGGCCCAGGAAGCCAAGGATTTCTGGGGCCTCCTATCCTCAAACTGTCCAGACAGGGTGGATAAAGCAGGACAGTTACGTAAGTGGGAGGAAGCACTCAGGACAGATCCTCCGGGCTGGCGGAGGAAGGACCAAAACAATTCGAGCTGATTCTTAATCGACCTTCTGATCTCGATACTGGATTTTTTGTTCTCTCCCTTAAAACTGGTCTTGCCCCATTGCCACCTTTGAAGTGAGTGTCTGCAAAGGGAAAGGAAATCCGGGACTTTGAAAGGGCACATACCTCAGGGAGGGGTGAGGAGAGGGCAGAACAGAGGAATGACGGACCTCACAGGCGGGGTTCCAAAACCCCTTCCTTGGTCCCTGCCAAGAGACTCATTTCCTACCCAACCACTTTCATCCTTTTCTCTCTGACCTCCTTCCCTGTGCCATCCATGAGACTTCCAGGGTGAGTTCTCTCTGTCTCTGTGTCTCTGCCTTTCTCTCTGTCTCTCTCTTTGTCTCTCTCTTTCTCTCTCTCTTTCTCTCTGTCTCTCTCTGTTTCTCTCTGTCTCTGTCTCTCTCTCCCTCCTATCTCTCTCTGTCTCTGTTTCTCTGTCTCTGTCTCTCCCTCCTATCTCTCTGTCTGCCTCTCTTTGTCTCTCTCTCTGTCTGTCTCTTTCTCCTCTCTCTGTCTTTCTCTCTACTCCCTCTCATCTCCTCTGCATGTCTCCCTCTCCTCCCTTCTTTCTTCCCTCTCTTCCCCTTCCCTCCCTCCATCTCTCCCTTTGTTTCTCCCTCCATCTCTCCCTTTCTTTCTCCCTCCCTCTCTCTCTCCCTGATTGCAGCTATCCAGTCATTCTCTCTTCTCCCTCTTCCTCATTTCCTCGTCTTCCTCATCCATTCTCTCCTGACTCCTCTCTTTTCCCTTTATCTTCTTTCTCAGTTCCCTTTCTCTCACACTTCTGTTTCTCTCTTCCTTCTTCTCCCTCCCCCCTCCCATTTCCCCTCTCTTCCTTTACTCTTCCTCTCTCTGCAAGGCCAGAATGAGGCTCTGGTGCCTGGAGGCACTGCCCACATTTGAAGGGTGTGGACAACACTCACCCTCTTGTAGGAACATCTGAGCTGAGTCTCCAAATGGCAAGGGCTGTTCTGGTAGAAGCTTCGCCTCTCTCCCCAGGAGGCCGGCGCCCCCTCCCCCGGCCCGGTGCCCAGTAACGGCTGGATGTCCCTCTCCCACCCAGGTTCTTCCTCTCCTCTCGCTTGTACCCCCTTCCCCTTCCTCCTTTGCTCTATCCTCCCAGTCTTTTCATTTCTCTTCAATTCTCCTCTATCTCTTTCCTCTCCCTCTTTAAAAACAATAGCTGATATTTATATAGTGCCCGCCATGTGCCAGGCACTGTGCTAAGTATTTTCCAAATGGGATCCCATTAGTCCACACAGCCCTGAGTGGTGGCGCTCAGTCACTTCAGTCGTGTCTTCACAACCCTACTTGGGTTTTCTTGGCAGAGAGCTGGCCATTTCCTTCTCCAGCTCATTTGACAGATGAGGAAACTGAGGCAAACAGGGCTAAGACTTGCCCAGAGTCACACAGCTAATAAGTGTCTGAGGTTGGATTTGCACTCAGGCCTTCCTGACTCCAACCCTGGCACTCTATCCAAAGCACCACCCAGCTCTTCTTTCCTTTTTTTTCTCTCTCCTCCTCTCCCCTCTTCTCCCCTCCCCTTTCCTTTCTGCTTTCCTCACTTCTCCTGGCTTCCTCTCCCTCCTGCTGCTCTTTGTCTTCCCTATTCCTCTCTCCTCCCTCCCCTTTCTCTTCTCTCCGCCCAGCCCCAGCCCCAGCCCCAGCCCCAGCCAGAGTCCTCTGTCCAGTCTCCCTGGAGATGGCAGAACAGGCCTGCCTTTCTCTGGCCAGGAAACAGGACAAGTGCATTTCATCCGGTGCACCCAGAGGGTGAGCCAGCAGCAGCAGCCATTGGGTGGTGGGATAGCACCCCCCCACCCAGGCAGGTGGGGTGGGGGGGACTCCCTCAGACCCCTGGGTCCTCAGTCAGGCTTGGCCAGCCCTGTTCCAAGTGGAGGGGAAGGGAGGCAGGGCCCTGGCCTCATTTCTGGTGGGAGGGGGCTCGGGGAGAGATCCAGCCCCTGCCTTGGGCAGGGGACTGAGCCCGGCCTGACCAGCCCCTCCCCCCCTTTGCCCCCAGCAGCCTGGCCTGTCCAAGAAGCCCTGCTGCTGGGCCTCCCTCCAAGTAACGGCAGTGGGGAGCAGGGCTCACCCTGCCCCCCAAGGGCAGAGGGCATCCTGGTGCCAAGGCCCAGTCCAGCCCTGCTACCAGGGCTCCGTTCTGGAGAGGGGGGTGGATAGGCTTGAGGGGAAGGAGCCCCGGGAAGGAGGCATGCTGGCATTCCTCAGCCTGCACCAGGAGTCAGTTCAGGAGAATTTCAGAAAGCCTATTAGAGCTGCCAGCCCCAGCCCCAGCCCCAGCCCTAGCCCCGGCCTCGGCCGGCCGCAGCAGCTGGGGAGCCCTCCCCAGTCTGGCTGGGGAGGGAGGGGAGGAGAAGGAAGGGAAAAAACCCAACAGTTGGCATTCACTCAGGCAGCGCTCCCTCTCCATCCATCTCTCCTCCTGCCTCCCTCCTCCCATCCTGGCCTGCAGGCCGGCCCCCAAGGAAAGCCAAGCCTTCCTCCTTTTGTGCTACACCCTCTCCCTCCTCCTCCTCCTTTCCCCCTGCCCGCCCCCCAAGGGCCCTATAAATAGCCCCAGAAGGCGGGCTGCTCTCCAGAGCACTGCTCAGGCTCTGAGGGCAAGGACGGGCGTGCCAACCAGCTTGGTCACTGAGGCAGGGCAGGGCAGGGCAGGACAGAGCAAGACAGGTGGAGATCAGGGGCACCATGGCCAGTGAGTTCAAGAAGAAGATTTTTTGGAGAGCAGTGGTGGCCGAGTTCCTGGCCATGATCCTCTTCGTGTTCATCAGCATTGGCACGGCCCTGGGCTACAACTACCCAGTGGAGGGCAACAAGACCTCCGGTGCCATGCAGGACAACGTGAAGGTCTCACTGGCCTTTGGCTTCAGCATCGCCACGCTGGCGCAGAGTGTGGGCCACATCAGCGGGGCCCACCTCAACCCTGCAGTCACCCTGGGGTTCTTGCTCAGCTGCCAGATCAGCATCCTCCGGGCTGTCGCGTACATCATCGCTCAGTCTGTGGGGGCCATTGTGGCCACAGCCATCCTCTCGGGCATCACCTCAAACCTCCCTGGCAACACCCTTGGGCTCAATGGGGTAAGTAGGGGCCCTATGGGCCATAAGGTTGGGTGGGGCTGGACCCCTGCCCTGAAAGCTGAGGCTCACATTGCTGAGGCTTGCCCAGAGGTATCCCACGGGGTCACCCTATGAGGCAGACCGCAGCCCTCCTGGGGTGCTGTCCACCACCCAGCTCCTTTCTTTAAGGGTCAGGCTCAGTGCAGGGCATGCTAGCCACTCGGCCAGACCCTCTCCCAGGCCCTGGTCTCGAGGAAAGTGGATAATTGTAGGGCTTAGACGGCAAAGTGAGCTGGTGGTCAGTGCTTTCCTCCACTCGCCTGGGACTTTTTGGTGGCTCAATGCTCCCCCCACCACAGGTGGCTCACTGGGAAATTGGCCACAATCAGGCACCATGATGGGGAGGCCTGTGGGGGGGGGGGGTCTTACTCCCCTGCTGCTGCTGAGCCCCTGGCCATAAAATGTCCACAATGCACACACCCACCCACACAGAGACGGGTGGAGAAAAACACCGTCTGGCCAAATTTGGTCAAACAGCTGAGTATTTTGAAAACCATTAACCTGTCTGAACTCAGCCTTTTTCCCCCTTCTATTCCAAACCTCTGTGTATTTGAGGGGTGGGGCAGGGGGGAGACCAGCAGGATGCTGACCTTGAAATTATCAGGTGTTCCCCCTCCCTGGACCTTGTCACCTGGGTTTCCTCCGTGCAAAGAGGTTCCAAACTCCTACTGGTTGCCTGAGAACGAGGTTCTGAACTGGAAGGAGAGCCGGGTTCAGGTTTAGTGTGGACATCTTCTGATGGGGAAGGGGCTAGGAAGGCGGATTGGAGGAGTTGCGCCCCTGCCCCCCCAGACTAAGAATGGGATGGTCTAGGGAGGTGGCAGGCACCCACATCTAGCCTTAAGTGGGCTCTGTCGCAGCTTCTGATGTGGGGGCCAGGGTGGCAGCTGTGGAGAGGAATGCCTCCGGAGGGCTGATTGGTGAGCTGCACAGCCCCACCGCTTCCCTCACCGGGGAGGCAGCAGGGGCCGGGAAAGTGGGCGGGGTCCCTCCAGCCCATTGGTACAACATGACTTCTCCTTGGCTCTGGCTGCCCCTGGGCCCCCCCGGAGGGCAGTGGAGTGTGGCACATATGGCGCATAGCAGCCAACAAGCTGTCACTGAAATCCCATTACAGGGCCTGGCCCTCACCCAGGGGACACCCGGGGTCCGAGAATGACTCCCCACGTCCCAAGGTGCAGGCATCCCTCTGAGGCCCTTCCCCAAAGTCCAGATCCCTCCAAGACAGGAAGGGCGGCCCCACAGGCCGCTCCAGTGCCTTGGGGTGTGTTCTGTCGAGGGGCCAGCCTGAAGTGACCTTTAATCGAGGGTGTCCGAGCACATCCCAAAGCCAAGCCGGCTAGTGACATAGGGAATAGTCAACTGTCTGCGGGCGCTGTCCTGTTTCCCTCCTGGGACATCTTATCCCCCTGCCCCCCACAGCCGAGCCACATCCCAGGAGACTGGCGGGGGGACAAGTTATGGGGGACGAGTCAGAAGTGATCTGGGGGACCGAGAGACAGGAGGTATGGTCCGGCATATCAGAGGCCAGTGGAGCAACCCCCTCCTTTTATAGATGAGGAAATTGAGAGCCAAAGAAGCAATGACTTGTCCAAGGTCACACAGGCTGTGGACATACAAGCCAGGACATGACCTCGGGTCCTCTTTCCACCATACTGTGATGCCTTCTAGGTAGAACCAGAGACCAGGGAAGAGAGAGAGCAAAGGCTTTCCTGGAGGGGTGGGGGGGGGGGTGGAGACTGGCTGAGCCAGTCAGTGGGGGCCCCACTGGGAACTGAGGCCCCAACACGGGCTGCCGGGGTTTTGGGGGACAGGGGGAGGGACATAGAGTCTTCAGGGAACGAGCTGGGGATGGGACAGGAATGTGCCACAGAATGTTTCCAGATTGGAACCGAGACAGGTGTGTGTGTGTGAGTGAGTGTGTAAACTCTCTTGCTGATGTCGGCCTCTGAGGAAGCTCTGGCTGCTGGCCAGCCGTGGGGGAACAGAGAGAGACTGCAGGCTTGTTAATCAAACCCAGCGGGCACCCCCGGAGGCCGGCAATGATTAGCACTTCAGACGTTTGGCCAACACCTCGCTGAGCCCAGATATGAAGCAAACGCCCTCCTTTTGGACCAAGCTTGAAGATTAGCTAGCCAAGGCCCCGTTAGCTCCAGTTTGGACTTTAGCCGGAATGTGGGGTCCATTTCCAGACCAGAGGCAGGCCGCTGGAAAGTCTGGGTCGTGTTGTGACCAGGGGGCAAGTTACAGGGCTAGCCTGCCCTGTGGTTCTCTCTCAGCCTCAGGGCTGACAGACCCTGCCCTGTTTCCCCCCCCAGCCCCCATCACAGGGCTGTCATTAGGGACCTAGGGGAGCAGAGATATATCAGTCAGGTTGTGCAGGTCCCCTTGTCCAACCCACTCCTTTGGCAAATGAGGAAACTGAGGCCCAGAGAGAAGGCACTTGGCCAGGTCTCAAAGCCGGATCCTCAGGCCCCAGGTTCCCCCCTGGATGGTCCCACTTGGGTTGGGTGGTGGAGCAAGACCACCCCCCAGAAGGTTGGGATGAGTGAGGATTAGGGCCAGGCGGGATGGGGCAGCCAGGGAGGGCAGATAAGTGCCATCCATCCTGCAGGAAACCAGTGGCTGGTGCTGTGGGAAAGTGGGGACAGAGGCGGGGATCTTCCCGGGGATTTGAAGCGAATGGGCCTCCCTTAGCTCTGTGCAGGAGGCTGGCGGGGCGAGTGTGGAGGGGGCAGGAGAGTGAGAGGGCAGCAGCCTCTGCCTGTCAGGGGCAGGCACAAAAACAGACATTTCTCTTCCCCCAGGCCATGGGGGTGGGCATTAAGCCTTCTTGGAGGCCAGGAAAGAGGGTGGGGCTGGCGGGGTGGGGCTGGTGGGCTGGGGGAGGGGGGCCTTTATCTAGCACAGGGTTGTGGAGAGGGCCCTGAAAAAACAGTCTGTGCTGCGTTGGCCAAGTGTCCTCTCTCCGTCTCTGGGATGCCTCAGTGTCCTATTTAAAAAGAGGAAGTTGGATAAGGTGATCTCCCTGCTTGCGCTAGGCTCCAGAAGCTCAGCTGAGCTAAGAGAGAGCAGGACCTTCCCTGGGGCTTCTTCTAGAGTCCTCAAGCCGTCCTCTCCTGGTACAAGGGAGGGGACTGGAAGGAACGGCTGCCTGTAACGAGTGTAAATGCACCAGGGGGACGAGCCGGCCTTCCCGGAGGGGAAGGGGTCCCTTGCTGGGTCACATAGGCATCCCCCACCCCTTCTGGCTCCCTCACGTCCCTGAGATCTCAGATGGGCCGGAGGCTGGGAAGACACAAGGCAGCCCCTCTGCTGAGTCTCCCGAGCTGCTGAAAGCCCCGTGCCTTGCTGGGGCTGTGGCCTCCCGGTTTCTCCCTGCAGCCAGCCCTGGACGCCTGGGTGCTTGGAGGGCAGGACAGAGCAGGATGGGCAGGACAGAGCAGGATGGGCAGGACAGAAGGAGAGGCCAAATGGTCAGAAGCAGAGACAGGGAGGGAGGAGGATCTTTCTAGTGGCCCTCCCTGTCAATGATTACCTGGGCACTTGGAGGACTTGGAAGGCCAGAGGGTGAGACAGGCTCAAGGGTCAGGGCCAGGGCAGGAGACTGCCTGGACTCGCTCCCAGCTTCCAGGAGCTAAGGAAGGTTCTGGAAGAAAGGTCTTGGGACCAAATGGCCGGGCAATAGGGAGCAAACGTGATGGGAGAGGGAGAGCAGTGGAGCTTGTCTGGGGAAGAGCTGACTGCAGAATGTTAAGCACCTCCACACCCGGCCTTTCTGAGGGAGCAGTTTCCCTGGATCCTGCCTGGCCCATAAATGCTTGTTCTAGCCAGTACACTGTCCCCAGGACTTCACTCCAGCCTCCCTACCTTTGCTCACAGCTTTCTGCTTGCCTGGAGCACCCTCCCTACTGTTCCATCTATCCCATCCCACTTCTCCTTAGAGGCTTAGCTCCTGGTCGGTCTCCTCCTCAGAGCCCCCTAGCTCAGAGCGTCCCCTCTCCTCACACATTTCCGTGGCCCTCTCGGGCTCAGGATAGCCCTGGGAGGCGGGGGCTGAGAGGATCCTTCTCCCCCATTTACCAGAGGGAGCTGGGCTCAGACGAGCTTAGGGCGAGAACACCCAAGGGTGGTGGTAGAGACGAGATTCAAGTCCAGTGTGCTGACTCATACAGCTCCCTGGCTCAGGGAGCCACCCGATCACGAGCTCAGCCCTCCAGGAGCCTGAGAAAGGTTTGTCGATGGACTGACTGATCCCCTCTGGGGAGAGGGCGCAGAGATAGGCAAGATCATCTCTGTAGCTGGAAAGAAAAGACTACCCCCCCCCCCCCCCCCGGGAGAATGGAGAAGACTTCGGGGCAGTGGCCAGGGCAGGCTGGTGTCTCCGCAGGCCAGGCTCAGCCCCACTTCCCTCCAGCTTCCCAGATACCTGGGTGCCCTCTCCCTCCTGCTGTTGGACTGTTGAGGGAGAGGCAGGGTCCCACAGGGGAGGGAGAGGCAGGGTCCCACAGGGGAGGAAGGCCCTGCTTCCCACAGGCTCCTGGAGCCTGCCTAGCAGGGGAGCCTGGGGCACTGACCAGGTGTCCCTATCTCAGCAGTGCATGGGAGGCAGTCATTCCATTTTTCAAGTGCTTGTGCCCCCTGCCTGGAATGCCCCCTCACCCCCCATCCATCTCCCCTTCCTGGAGAACTTCCCGGGCTTTATCTAAAATCCCACTTTTTTTTTTTTGGTGAGGCAATTGGGGTTAAGTGACTTGCCCAGGGTCACACAGCTAGTGAGTGTCAACTGTCTAAGGCCAGATTTTATTATTATTATTATTTTTTGCTTAAAATCCCACTTCTTACAGGAAGCCTTCCTGATTTCCCTTCTGGCCAGGGCCTTCTCTCTGTTGATTCTGTCCCAGAGAGCTTTCTAGCAGCTTTTTTTACATGGCTGTTTGCATATTGCCTCCTCCATTGGA